ATCCTCGGCAGCCGAGGATAACGAGTTAACTCGTCGTTTATATTCGAGAATATGCAACGTTAATCCGAAGCTTTCTCTCACTTGTCCGAGCCGTTCTTGCACGTGATCGTTAGAATTAAGCGTTCGCGGCGTTTGCAAATTTGTTGAACAAGGGAAACCGTTTAAGTTGATTGCTCTATTTTTACCGTGGGCGATCCGCGGAACGAGCTGTTTCAAATAGAAAATTCGTCACGGAATCGGGACCGGAGAATTCTAGTTTTGTAGATCGCGCGTTTTAAGCCCTCCTGGTAACGCGAATAAATTCGCTCTCTTTAACAGGTTATTATACGTAGATAAATTTTTATGAGCCACGTGGCAATCAAAGTGTTAACTTCCATGGGGGTGCAATGTGCCCGTGATACTCCTCGCGAATACATATTTCACGTCAGGCGATACATTCGAAGGTGATCCATAAGTGTTTTGGAGATGCACACCTATTTCGTTTCGTGAATGAAAAATAAGGGGCACATATCACCCGATGGAAAGTGAAAGGAACAAATATCAATGAAATGTTTCACGCTACTTGAGCTGCTCGAAAGGTTCACCCCGTAAAAACACCGCGGAAATTACCAATAATGTGTACGCTATCGGTTGAAGATTTCCGATCATCCATTACCAGCGTTATGAAAAAAAAGTGCATTATTCATTCGTGACGATGAAATGAATAGTATGTCAAGGATACGTCGGATTTTGTGCAGAAATAGAGCAGAAACATTTACAGAATTTCTAATTCATTGAAATTATCTGAACGTAATATATAATTAATATAATTAATCAAAAAGAATACAATTAATTTATTTAGATCACCGGTCAACCTAATTCAACATTTGCCGATTTGCCAAATCTAGAGATTCGGGGATCGACGCCCCTCGATTTCTGAGCCCGTAATGGACGAGATGGAGCTTCGAGAAACAGCGTACACGCGCGCATACCGTGTTCCCTCCATACCGTCGCGATTAATAACAATAATCGCGGACAAAGACAGGATAGCTTGTTTTGCTCTTAAACGGCTCGCCATGTTCGCGCAACGGTACGGAGGAAATACTGTTACAGTGACCCGCACATTTATCCACGCAGTCTCCAAAAAACAGTGCAAAAATTCTTATACAAGCCTACACTCGCTTATCTACCTTTTGCTTCGTCTGTAACACATTATCTCATCTGTAACCCCCTGCAACGCAGCGCAACTTCGAAGTCCCACATTTGTTATTTGCATTCTTCAAGTCTTGTTTCGCGTTATTTGTAATCGAACAATTTCTTCGCCGCGATTTCGCAGCGTACCGTACTATTTGTTCAGACTTGAAAAAGAGACCGAATTACAGAGGGTTGTTCCTTAAACGCGTAACGTTGCTTTCTTATTCAAAATAACAACGACCCAGCGAACGTGTTCGAGAAAGACGTGAAAAATTAATCAACATGGACGCTTGGTAAATACTCTTTTTATTAGTCGCGGAAGAATGTTGTATTTAATTAAAAAGAGAGTTCATTGTAGAATCGAAGATCTCATATGTGAGTCACTGTGTGTATTTATTGGGTCGGGGGCACCGCTACAAGTATTACAACTAGAGCGTTTAGGTGTACGTTTTAAGGCCATGGCGTACACGACGCCGTACGCGATCGTTTCCCTCCCGTGGTCGAAAGGAAGCTGCGGCTCTTTTCCCTCGCAATGTTTACGGCTGTCTGCTATTTACAATTATCGTATAGTCTCTTAAATATTAAACTTCCATCCGTGAACAAACATACTGTACATCGTAGTGTGTGGCTACGTGGTGCGATAGAGCAGTTTAACAATAATCTCTTGTGATTCCTCATCGACGTGGACGCGATCGATATTCCTCGCTGTACAAATATGGGCGTCGCACGAGAATCCAGAACGGAACACGAATCGTTTAACGAAACAAAAAAAAAGAAAAAAGAAAAAAAAAGAGGAAAAAGAGTAAAACCAATTAGAGAGGAAGGAGATGATTGGACGTTGTCGGGTTCGCAGGAATGATCGAATCGTACGAAATCATAGCGGCGAACCAAAGAAAAGACAACGGAACATCGCGAGCGGCACACGATTAACAAGGATGCGAAAAAAATAAAAAATAAAAGTTACAATTTGTAATAATATATATATTTTTTTTCTTAATAATAGTATAATCAATGTTTTTTTTTAAATATATATATGTATATATAAGCACACATATATATACATATATATATACATATATATAATAAGCAAATTAATATGTACAGAATACGTTGCGGTATTAGTTTCTCGCGGGCACGTGGTTCCGCTCTTTCTTTTCCCTCCTTTCGTCTGCACGTGGCTCGTGTTTGTTGTTCGTTAACTACATTATGAATATTTTTAAAGAGGACCGTTCCTAAACTATTTAATTCTATCTATTCGCTCCACCGCGAGAACAAAAAAAAACAAAGTAGAATTCGAGAGAACTATGGCAACTAACGTAATAAATGGCAAGTTCGTTGCTGACGGAAAAAAAAGAGAATCGGTGCGAGACGCTCTCGTGACGCGGAATGGAATGGAAACGATGAGTTAAAAGAGAAAGAGGTGATACCGTTTGCGACTCGTCGGAAAGAAAAGTTGTGAATGATGTATCGCGGAGAACGCGAGGATGACGATGATGAAACAACGCCGCGGGAAGATCCGATAAATTAAAGTACAAGTAACGGGGACGACTTTTTTTAACGAAGATCGAGATACTACGCCGTTCACGGCTAACACTTTGACGGCCGCACGGTCGACGCCGGAAACCTCTCGCATACCCGCGCGTCACCATACGTCGCAGCTAATTTTCTTCGCTGTCGCATATATAGCATAATTATAGTACACTTAGCGAGACAAACATCGAGAAATTGTTCGACGCGCAACTGTCGTGGCGAATTCCAAGAAAATCAGTGACTTGTTCGTGTATTCGTTAGCAGAGAGTGTGCGCCATTTGAAGAATTACATCCGCGGAGAAAAAACAAATATTTTATGTCTTATTGTCTCTCGAATGATATTCGTGAATTCACATCGGATAAATATTTGGAACAAGATCGAATTGTCTCGTAGCAAATCATTTGATCCCGACCAGCGGTTCCAGTTGTTAACAATATTGTTTCCGCGCGAACGACTTCGACAAATTAAGAACCAGCGTGAAACAACATTCGAGACACGTTTCATAATGTGCACAGAGCTCCGCAGTCGGATGAACACTTCCAATAGCGACTAATTTTGTATTACGCGCGCCGGCTCGGGGAAAAAAAGAACGCGAAAGTAAAGGGAAGCGCTTCGGAATCAGGCTCGGCAGTTGAGGGTCGAGCTCTATGATACAATCTTAATTTAAGTAATAATCGGAAGTGTGATTAAACCGCGTCGGAAGGCCGTCAAAGCATCGAGCCCGAGCGAAACGAGGATACACACACCGGATACGCGATATTTAGGGCGACGCGAACGAACGAAGCGTGGAGAGGAAAGAAACAGAAGTAAGGAGAACAAACTCTAAAACGTAATACAGATTGCAACGTAATTAAATAGAGAATCGGGGTATACGGCGGACGTCCCTCTCTCTTTCTGTGCTACGCGACAACTTCGATAGAGATATAATATTCATTCATGTGCGATCGCGGATACTCGGATGGTGTGCCCGTTTGTTGGATCTCGCTTGGCTACGTTCCTATATGAACGAACAAAATCATACAGACAAAATAAATGATCATTGTGCACACAGGCTTCCCTCATTAACGAACAGAAACCTACACGATCCACCCTCGCCGTACTGCATCTGGTTTATTCGGACCTTGACCTCTATACTCGAAAAATAAAAAATCTCTATTGTTCAATGATTGTCTAAAACATCTTTATAACATAAAATATTCGTTACTTTATAGTGCACATGTATCGCTAGAACAAGTCTGTACGAAATTGCAAGGTCATTGACATTTTTCTCTATAAATCGGCAGACTTAATATTGGTCTTCTTGTATAAAAACGATTAGCGTAGCGAGAGTCGAAGGCGTGCGGAATCGGTAATTTGTATTGTTCCCTAGGCACCGGTATCTGTTTCCTTTCGATTCTTGTTCGGGAACGAACCTCTGTCCAGAGAGTGTCGGTCGACCTTTCCTTTTGCACACGGAGCTACATGAATTCAAACAAAACACAATAGACCTCTATTGCCGATCAAAGCTTACATCTAAATACATTCAACAAGTAGAACCGGGGAATCATTGAAATCGTACCGCAGCCGAAACACAAGCATCGCTTTTTCTCTATAACACCAGGCAGCTTTTCAATCACACATTATAGTCTTCCATTTCTTCGAGAGAGAGTAATGTAAAATATCTTGATATTTTTGTAATATCTTGAGAGTAAGAGTTAATATCTTGATATTTCATTACCTCTTCGTAGAGCAAACAAATTCGTCCATTTTGTAATTTTTCAATCACATTACAGTAAATTCATTCGAATTGTCCCCCAGCTTGAAAACGAAAATGAACAATTTGGTAAGGGCAGACACGATTATCCGAGTCCTCGCGGTTCTGTTTTATAGTTGTTGACAATCGGCAACTATAAAAACGAGTCGCGAGGCTCGCATATTCTTTTTATTAATTGAAAATGTCGAGTTATAAAGAGTTAAAAAAATGCGACACGAATCTCTATTTTATACCTTAAACATCGATTTCATTATTATTCGTATGTACCTGAAGCTGTTTCGAACTCTAAAAAGATTCAGACAATAAAAAAAACATTAAACACGGCTGCGGCAAGGATCAATGTTCGTCGCATACGAATTACTTAACACGCTTCGAAATCGCGAGAGGATAGAAATCACAGAAAAACGTTCGTTCCTCCTTTCAGCTTCCAAAATTACCCATCGATTTTCCTCGTTTACGCGAAAAAAAAGTAAATATATAGAAATAGGATAGACAATAAAATACTTATTAAAAAGAACACAAAAATAAAAGGTGCCACAAAAATAATCGCAATCGTCTATCTTATAATTTCAGTAGCCGGTTAGTTACAATAAACATATTTAACAGTTCGTAAATAATACTCGAGACAGTATCAAAAAAAAAAAGAATATGAAGCACTAAAACGATCGACGAATAAATTTTGCTAATCATAATTACAACGTGTGTGTATAGAGAGCGCGCCAAAGAAGGACATCCAGTTTTCATTCGCTCGATAACTTCTAGCAAATTATGTTTTTCTTTTTCGTTTTCCATTCTCTTAATATGAGGTAATTTTCGTGCGTACATTCGTTTGAAAACACGCATTTTCTATGCTTAAAGTTTCAAACGAGGTGTTACAAAAAGGAACAAAAGAAAAAACAAAAAAGAAACAGCCGAACAGTAGAGCAATAATTCCAGAGATGGGGGACGCATTGTACAAATAGAAAATAAAATAACGGAGCACAGTTTAACTGTAAAAGGAATCTGTATGTCGCTGAGGGAACGCGAGGAATGATCGCATTCCCGTTCTCATGATCTCTGTGTGATGCCACGCGACATGAAAAATGCCTTTGACTTCGCCATGCCTCTCATGCGTATCCCATTCACTCTCAGTGCGCATATATAACGTGTTAAACATTTCGATACAGTTACGCTATATATATAATATGACACTGCGGTGTAATAATACTACAGACCTTAAGTCGGTAATCGCGTTCAAAGGCAATTCTCACCGTTCACCCGTTCTGCCGAGGAAAAAAAAAGAAAAAGGAAAGAGAGACATAAAAAAACAGAGACAAGAAGAACAATCATTTACAAAAAAAAGGTACGTGCAACGATGTACGGTACACAGTCAATGAATCACGAGAGAGAGATTGATTTTCTTTTTTTCCCATTTGCTTTCATTCCGTTCTATTCGCAGGCAAAAATCTCGTCGTGCGAACATGTTTTCGTTCTTTCTTTTCTCCTCTTTTTGTTGCCCTGTTCCGCGATCGACGATTACCTATTACATCAATCGAACGATCAAACCTAAAACCACACGTATCGCAAACGTTCGTGCCTCGTTTCAAGTGGATGCGGGTCGCGTGTCTAAAATTATCGCTAATAGGCGCTTCGTTCATTTTGCGATTTCTCTTTCTCTTTTTTTCTTTCTGTCCGTTTGTTTTTTTTTTCGCAAAAGCGACGCGACGCTGCGCCGCTCCTGCCGATACACAATTACAATAATACGATTAGACTTCTTCTTTTGTTTTTACCGCTAAACGTAATATTAAAAAAAGTCGGATTACTTTTCGTTAAAAATTCGAGATTACATTTTCGAGTTTTCATTATTATCCCCCACCCCACCCACCCCCCGTATCCGTGTTTTAAAAACTGTTCCTCAGCGACAGTATACATCGGTTTCCGCTCTATCGTTCTCTTTCTTTCTTCTTTTTGTTTTCCTTTTTTTATGTTTTATCGTTTTAAATATTTCGTCGCTTTTCTCACTGGTATACATCGACCGCACGTGATTAATCTTGTAAATACTCCGTGAAGATTCGAGACATTATCATTTTTTTTTCTCTCCATTTAGAACTCTGTCTTTTTCAGTTATTATTACATGCACTTTACCCCCATCTCTTCCCACGTTACGGCGATTAGGGCCATCACTATTCACAATGCGCAGGATACAATCGAAGAACTGTATGCATGCATGCGTGTATGTATACGCGCACGCGTGTGCTACATAGGTACACACACACACCTCTTATACAATACAAGAACGAGAAAAGAAAGAAGCAAAAGAAAGGAAAGAATTATTTCGAATCGCGCGTTAATAGACGTTTTTTCTCGTTTGCTTTCTGTTCCATTTTGATTATTGTTTTCCCCGGTCGTGTGAATCTTACAATATCACATTTTTTAGACATCTGTTCCAGCATGTCGTTCATTGGGTATCGTCTTCGTCTCCGGCCTTCCCCGTTGTTCTCGGACATTATTCTTTTTCTCCTTTCGTCTCCACGATCGTTCACCGTTGATCTTCACATGCGTGTCTATTCACCGAAGTCGCACTCGCTCCGTTTTAATTCTCTCGTTCGTACGATTCCCTCCTGCAATTAATCCAGTTGAGAGAGTCCGGGTCGATCGTCCCCCTGCAACTTCATCGTTCGTAAATACACAATACGCACTCGTTCCCCGTGATCAATTTCTATCTGCGTTCTCTGTGATTACACTGGCTAGTTTTTCGGTTTTGTTTGTTTTTTATTTTTTTAATATTTTCCTTTTTTTAGAAAAAAAGTCTCGAACGAGAGCGAACGTTATTCGCGCAGACACATAAACGGCGCGGCGTTCCATATTTTTTTTTCTTTTAATCGATCGCTTTGATCGCGTTCATTTTAATTACGATATACACAATTTACATTCGCGACACTGTGTGTTTATATCGTGTGGACTTAAACATTAAACATTTCTTTCATTCTTCTCGCTTATCTGCTTTCCTGTGTTTGTTTAAATTGATATTTTTCGTTTTATGAATCAATGCCATCGCATTGCACGAGCGTCCCTTTAAATTCTTTATTTAAAGACAGTTTTATTTCCCCTCTCCGTTTCACGTTTGCTTAGTATTAAAACATCACCGACCGTCACGTGTCTCCATTTACCAAACGTATACACATGTGTTCCTTTTGTTTCGGATTCGCTTCTGCTTTCGTTTTAGACCTCGTTTCGTTTCCTACACAGACTCACACTGCACTCTTTTATTTTCTCTTGTTTCCCTTTTTTGAAGTGTGAACTTAGAAGTCGGATCCCGGAAGCTGGAGATTCCGGTTTTGTATGATTTATTATCGCGTACTTTTTTTTTATTTGTTTAGTGTTTCGTCGCTTCGGTTAGCACGTTTTAAATAAATTTGACGTTATAATCGTTAGGTTTTTTTTTCTTTTCGGCTTACAGAGGAAGTCCCGTGTGTTTCTTCTCTTTTGTCACTTGATTATTTAAACGTCGATGGCTCATTTCGTTGCGGAGTTCTTTATTACGTGATTCGCGAGAAAATCGAAGATACGGTTTCCTTTATTCGAATAATACTTGCGTTTGCATTGGAAAAGATCGGATCTTCATTCATTAATTATCTTATTCAGCAACGAACATCCGTCTTCCGTCGAAATACACGTCAAGATGGGGCACTAATTTATTAATAAAAAAATATAATATTTCTTAATGACGATGATCCACGAGTTCATGCAAACTGATGCGATAAATGAGTGATTTTGACCACCACGATGACTATGACGATAGCAATGACAGTGAGATGGATGGATGGTCAAATGGTAATAGAAATAACGATGACAATAATGATGATGATGACGATGATGATGATGATGACGATGACGATGATAACGATGCCGATGAAATTGCCGTTAATTGAAACATGTTAACAATAACTATAGCTTTTAAAAAAAAAATATAACAATCACAACGGGGACGCGAAGGAACAAGTGCCATAATAAAGAACTCAGCAACAAATTACTCCGTGTTTTACAATGTGTTGGACTTACAGGCTGTCTCAGTGTCGTTTGATTGTTTTATTTAGTTTAGGTTAATTCCTAGTTGACCATAAGCGTGTGCGATTCCATCGGTGCTGCACTGTCGTACAACGTGTCTGTGTCCTGCGTTGGCTCACCCTGAAGTTGACACTGATTACTTAAAGTTCCAGCACCACAGTCACAGAAGAATCTGAAAAAAGTTCACTAATTAGAAACCAGTCTGATATATGTACACGTGAATTAGTTTTGCTTCATTAATTTTTAGACAGCATTCACTTAACTAACATATTTACGTCGCTTCTATGAAACTGTCTCCGAAGTACGTAAAATGAAAAAGAAATGGATATATTCTCCATAGATGCCTTACAAGTGCAATATAAAAATACGAATATACAGAATACAGAAAAATGTAAAATCTCGTAGGAACCTCTAACAAGTTATCTATAAGCTTATGGTTAGAATATTAATAATCATGAAAACATGAGATAGAAGAGGTGCTAGACAAGAAAGCTAGAAAGGTAAATAGAGAGATAAAGAGTGAGAGTGAGAGTGAGAGTGAGTGAGTGAGAGAGAGGGAGGGAGAGAGAGAGAGAGAGCTGGTTAATGAACATAAATATTGTAAACAAAATTGCTTTTAACAGCTAGGAGACTGAAAGTAAATAAATAAATAAACATTCTATTAAATTCTATAATAGATTTACAGTAGTTTCTCCCTGAAATGTTCACAGAACTCGGCATTGAAAACATCAGATCTGAGAATATTAAATCGCGATTCATCGAGCTTCGCTTTTATAGTTGCCAACACCTCGTGCGTGCGTCTGTATTTGTGAAAGAAAGAGAAAGAGAACAACACTCGAGGCAGCCGGCTAACTTAAAAGCCAGTGGTCAGCATGCAGGTATACATTAATATGAATACATTGTAATGCTAGAATAAAAACTATAACTTAACTTTATTATTTCTAATTTTTTACACATGAAATTTTTTTTGATATATTGGTTAGATTCTTCCAATTCAAATGAAACCAAACACGACATGCTTTAAACCATATTACGTAACAAATCTTAATTGATTATTCATAAATGAATTTTTTTTCCATTATTTGTTATTAAGAAATAGAGGAAAATCATCATCGTAGGCCATAAAGATGATACGCCACAAAACAATTCAATATACATAGAATATCATTTTTGACGTATCTAATTAGTATAAGCATAATTATGTATAATATCAATGCAGTTTTTTAATGTATACATAATCATTGTAAGACTTGTGATGAATAGATTACTTTAATATATTAGAAATACACTATACAGTTATTATTTATATGTATAACAATGTATTTTACTTATGTGATCACAGCGATAATGGAATAACTGTAAAATGAATTACGCGATAAAAATTAAATAAACAAATGTAATCGGAATTACATGTATTGTGTTTGGTTTTATTTAATCAGAAACATTTGTCCAAACTATATCATGTTCAGTCTCAGTTTAATCATTAAGCTAAAAAAAATCAGTTTTAAAATATTAAAATTAAAAAGAAGTTATGTCATTGTATTATGAGTTATCTTCCGAAAATTTGAATCAAAGGAGCCGCATCGCGTGCCGCATCACATGCTCGATTGACTACGTCGCATCGACGTAGCAATAAATCACAGGGCCGTAGCCATAACACAGGTACAAATCCCAACATACCAAAATTTGGTAAATCCCGGAGAAACTACTGTATATACGTATTTAACAATAGAAATTTCTTATTCGATCAAGTTCAATTATTGAAAATACTTACCGATCGTGTCTAATAAATTCTACATCGTGACCAGCATGGCAAGTTTTTATACAGTTCACACAAATTGCATTGCGATCTGTCGTGTTGCATGTCTGGCAGCGGTAGAAATCGTGCATAGGGAAGGAAGTGTACGACGAAATTTTGTATAAACATTGGCCGTTACCGACTGCTTTCTCAACTGCATCTTGGTTATTAAATATCTTATTGCCTGTAATAGCGGAAACGATTAAATTGTATAAATTAATACGAAAAGACAATTTAATTTTTGGGCTACATAAAATTTTTTATCAGAGTGCATTTTTCAGATTTATACTGAATCGTATTATACATACGCCTACTTAAATAATTTCTGATAACNGTGAGTGAGTGAGAGAGAGGGAGGGAGAGAGAGAGAGAGAGCTGGTTAATGAACATAAATATTGTAAACAAAATTGCTTTTAACAGCTAGGAGACTGAAAGTAAATAAATAAATAAACATTCTATTAAATTCTATAATAGATTTACAGTAGTTTCTCCCTGAAATGTTCACAGAACTCGGCATTGAAAACATCAGATCTGAGAATATTAAATCGCGATTCATCGAGCTTCGCTTTTATAGTTGCCAACACCTCGTGCGTGCGTCTGTATTTGTGAAAGAAAGAGAAAGAGAACAACACTCGAGGCAGCCGGCTAACTTAAAAGCCAGTGGTCAGCATGCAGGTATACATTAATATGAATACATTGTAATGCTAGAATAAAAACTATAACTTAACTTTATTATTTCTAATTTTTTACACATGAAATTTTTTTTGATATATTGGTTAGATTCTTCCAATTCAAATGAAACCAAACACGACATGCTTTAAACCATATTACGTAACAAATCTTAATTGATTATTCATAAATGAATTTTTTTTCCATTATTTGTTATTAAGAAATAGAGGAAAATCATCATCGTAGGCCATAAAGATGATACGCCACAAAACAATTCAATATACATAGAATATCATTTTTGACGTATCTAATTAGTATAAGCATAATTATGTATAATATCAATGCAGTTTTTTAATGTATACATAATCATTGTAAGACTTGTGATGAATAGATTACTTTAATATATTAGAAATACACTATACAGTTATTATTTATATGTATAACAATGTATTTTACTTATGTGATCACAGCGATAATGGAATAACTGTAAAATGAATTACGCGATAAAAATTAAATAAACAAATGTAATCGGAATTACATGTATTGTGTTTGGTTTTATTTAATCAGAAACATTTGTCCAAACTATATCATGTTCAGTCTCAGTTTAATCATTAAGCTAAAAAAAATCAGTTTTAAAATATTAAAATTAAAAAGAAGTTATGTCATTGTATTATGAGTTATCTTCCGAAAATTTGAATCAAAGGAGCCGCATCGCGTGCCGCATCACATGCTCGATTGACTACGTCGCATCGACGTAGCAATAAATCACAGGGCCGTAGCCATAACACAGGTACAAATCCCAACATACCAAAATTTGGTAAATCCCGGAGAAACTACTGTATATACGTATTTAACAATAGAAATTTCTTATTCGATCAAGTTCAATTATTGAAAATACTTACCGATCGTGTCTAATAAATTCTACATCGTGACCAGCATGGCAAGTTTTTATACAGTTCACACAAATTGCATTGCGATCTGTCGTGTTGCATGTCTGGCAGCGGTAGAAATCGTGCATAGGGAAGGAAGTGTACGACGAAATTTTGTATAAACATTGGCCGTTACCGACTGCTTTCTCAACTGCATCTTGGTTATTAAATATCTTATTGCCTGTAATAGCGGAAACGATTAAATTGTATAAATTAATACGAAAAGACAATTTAATTTTTGGGCTACATAAAATTTTTTATCAGAGTGCATTTTTCAGATTTATACTGAATCGTATTATACATACGCCTACTTAAATAATTTCTGATAACATTTGTTGTTCGCCTATACGCGTCAATAGTAATTAGAAAGTTAATGAAGGAAGGTCATAGATTTTCTAATTAGGAAGCTGCTTACTTTAAAGAGAAGTTACTAACTAAAAAATAGATTATGGATCTTTATGCGTTCATAAATGCGTAAAATTCAATTAATAAGCATTAATGGTATCCTCACTTTATTTTTAATAAAAGAGTTATTTAAATAAATTTTACTCTCATTCTGATTATAAAGTAGTAGGGAAATTTGCATACTGAATTCACAGCGTAATAATGAGCAAATGAATTAGTAAAATAATAATTTAAAAAATACGAACCTCTAGTCGTCGGTTGAACTCCGCTTGCTAAGCAAAGACCACCGAATCTATTATTGAAAATTTGATTAAATTCTAGCGTGGCGGTCGCGTTATTTGTGATCTCAACGCCGGCTGCCAATCCATCGAAGATTCGATTTCTCCTTAGTACAGGATGAGACTGTGTAGAAATAAGCACTCCCGCTTGCGCATTACGAAATATATCATTCTCTTCGAGCACACCTGTTTAAAAAGAAGAATTAATAATCTCGCAAATCTTTCACGCTAAAACCAGGCAATAAAAATAAATAGTAACATACCTTTACCACCGTTAAATATACAAATACCACCATCTCGTCCATCAAATATCTTGTTCCTTTTTAACGTAGGGTTGCTATCGGTTTTAATCCATACTCCCGCCATCGCGTTATCAAAAATCTCATTTTGTTCGAGTAAACCTAATCCGCTATTATACACAAGAACGCCGCCGTTCTGTCCGCCCCATATCTTATTCCCACGTATCACTGGATTGCTTCCAGTCCTGCAGCATCATAGAGACACAGTTAGAGTCACAAAACCAACAGTATTCACCTAGCAATGATGATCTTACCTTATTTGTACTCCCGAATACAAATGATTGAAAATATCATTGTCCTCTAATTTACCGTGTCCATTGTCATAAAAATAAACGCCGACCTGTTTCCCGCTATGGATACGGTTTCTTCTAAGCACAGGCGTAGATCCGGTGGTTATCCATACACCTGCCAATGTGTTTGCATACACCTCGTTCTCCTCGATCAGACCTTGTCCCTTCTCGTGCACGTATATACCGCCGTGTTGACCGTGATGTATCTTGTTGTGTCGAACGATGGGATCGGAATTCGTTCTGATTTGAATGCCGGCTAGAGCGTTTCCGTAAATATTATTGTGTTCTATCAAGCCTCGCCCTTCGCCGAATATGTATACGCCCCCTTGATGACCATTGTAAATTTCGTTCCTACGTATGGTCGGGTTCGAGTTGGAGGTGATCCAAACACCGGCGAAGTTGTTCGAATGAATCTTGTTGTCGATAAATTGACCTAAACCGTTCTCGTGGACGTAGATCCCACCCGTTTGTCCATGGTGAATCTCGCAATGCACCACCGTTGGATTAGCACCGGCCTTCACCTCGAAACCAGCTATCCGATTGTTGTGAATGTCGTTGGCTTCGAAGTAACCCAGGCCGTTGTCAAACGTGAATATGCCGACGTCCCTTCCGTGATGGATGTGGTTCCTCCGCATGATTGGGTTCGCGTAATTCTTCACCCAGATACCAGCCAGCGCGTTTCTAGATATTTCATTGTCCTCGTATGTTCCTTGCGCGTAGTCGGTCACATACAATCCAACGTTCTCGCAATCCGATATGTCACAATTCTTCACCACAGGATTGGCTCCTACGCCCGACACACAAACGGCTGCTCCAACTGCAGAGAACGAAAATGTTTGAATATAATCGTGTACTAAAAATTGTAACTTAGACTGTGGAAGTACATGCAAACGACAAGGAATTAAAAACTGGATTTGGGTTTTATAGATTTTGGAAAACTTTTGCGACTTGTAAACGGAGTTCCCACAGTTTGAACATTACTATAAAAATAATTTATACGATGATTGTTACTTAATAAATTAAAGAGCTTCTTAAAAGTTTTCTACTAACTTACCAACACTTGAACTCCTAATAATGCAGTGGTCCACCGTGGGACTGCAGTTTTCGCCGACCTCTAAACAGTAATGTTTATGGTGCGGCACCGTACTGGTAACGTCAGGGGTGAACTTTAACGTGAGATGGCCGGCGTAAGCTCGTTTTGCTCCTTCTACAAACATAACTGTAGACTCACTTTCTCGTTCGAGTATAACCGATTCTGCCACGTTTCCGGGTGCCGCTCCTATCAATGCGACGTCGCTGTCTATTACAAGAAATTCGCCTCTGTATATACCAGCGTGTAAGAAAACTAAATGTTGAGGTGCTCCCTCTTCCGATTGGGAATTACTTCCGCAGCAATTCCCCTGGCCGGTTGTGCTTGTGCTATTGTTCGACGTGGAACCACTATTGCTTCTATATTCATCTACATAGTCTAACGCTGCCTGAACAGTATTAAAGTATGGCAAATTCCGTCCCTTGACCTTCAGATCTTGAAATCCCGGCCTGACGTGCACTCCTCTGTATAATTGTCTAAAGCTCTCCTTCCATGGATTGTGGTAATCCGATTCGTCCGGAGACACGAATTCGAATTTACAAGGTGCTGGATTAAATAGTGGTAAATCGTACTCGTAAACTTGCTGATACAGAGACTTCCATAGTTCAGTGTCGTTCGCGATCGCTTGAAAACGTCTGCAAACTTGAGAAACTCTACACAGATCTTGTTCCATTAGATAATTAAATATAGTAAGCAGCACTTCGTCCGGCAACTCGTACTGAAGGTAATGTGCTGCGGCGTTTGTGTTTGTACCTACAAAAGTGATTAATGACACTTTAGGAAAATATTAAACAATGTTTATAATGCATATTGAAAATCAATGAACTATACCATCTGTGGATAATGAACATGTCCGCCTAGGTCGTTTTCTGGCTGGTAAGGAGGAAGAACCTAGAGTTGCTCCGATACTACTGCCACCCGAAGGAGGTAAGGCAGAGCTGGTACCAGGAGCTGGATCCGGATGAGGTGGACTTTTACGCCTTAAGTCGTAAGGGGAAGAATGTGAATGCGATGGGGAAGGTGACGGTGCTGCAACACCTGAAACACTGGGAGAAGATCCTCTTCCACCGCTTCCACCCCCACCTCCACCTCCTCCTCCTCCTCCTCCACCGCCAACTCCACCACCAGGAGGTATCTGATTCGATGCTGAACATGGCAAATCGCATGCCTCGGCTAAAAAATTAAAATGATTGCAACCAAAATATGAGTATAAAAATTAAACCTTCTACGATATCAAAATTCTAATGTATCACTGCAGGTACTTGATAAATAAAACAAAAACAGACACCTGACAAATATCAGAGTATCAATTGCAAACTGTGACAAGTAACAGAGTTTACATTTGGTAATTGACATATAAAGAGAGTAAAAAATATGAACAGAAGATAAACCGCATGTAAGGGATGCTAATAAGGAAATTAAAACATATTAGCATTATCCATTCAATGTATGTGCACAATCAGTTATCAAACCATATTTCAAAAGGGAGTAGTTTCATAATTCCATTTTCAAAGAAACAGTGACAGTTGCAGTTGCATCTCCAATGCACAGAAAGTGATTTGGGAAAGTGGAGCATTATACTAATTTAACACAAAGTCTATAGCTGGTGCAATATCAGATTGAAAGGTGCATCATGTCCCCGAGATCGTGGGCCGATAGTTTTTCCGAATCACGCGAGGACCCGTTCTTACGGTCCCGCAGCTGGATGTTTAATAAATCGGAATTACACGAAAAGAAACGAAAAAAAGAATAGGGGAGGTGGGGTGAGGAGTGTAGACTTTGAGCCGACATTCCACGGTAAAAATTGACAATCGCGAAGTGTACGCGATACGGTGATCGATGTCCCCGAAAGAAAGAAGGGCTGGTGCAAGTGCGGCGAGACCACGAACAAACGTCATCGGCGGTCGCGTTTTTCGGGCATCCCGGACTGCGAGAAAATCATGCGAGAGAAGAGACGTGGGCAGCGTAAGGTTTAACTGTCGTCTCTGTCCTGCTCTCTCTACGTGATGTCCGGAATGGTAAACGAAAAACACGAGTAACGATGAGGAAGGATGTCGGTTGATCGGGAGAGGCATAGAGAATCGACGAAATCGGGTTAGACCCGTGAAATAACGAAGTAGGTGAAGGGAAAAGAAACGAGCTGAGAGACGACAGGTGAGCAGTGAACCGAGGGTCTGGATGCAGGGCTCTCTTACCCGAGGTGGTTCTCGAAGGCAGAGGGATCCTGTTCGCGCCTTTTCTCCGGGATCTTCGCACGTAGTGGCGCCCTGATGTGAACGAGGCGCTTGGCATTTTTAACGTGCTTCCCGACGAAAATTATGCGAGAAACGGGTGAAACAACTAAACACTAAACAATGGCGACACTTCCACCGAGCCCAGCGGCCATCTTCTCATTGACGGTAGGACTGCCGACTGGTGCTAGACCGCCAATCGGATGAATTTCTGCTCATCCCCTCTTTCCGCGCTGACCACCCTACTACCCTGCCCAAAAGCGATCCTTTTCTCACTTGCTCTCACTCGCCTGCCACCCCCTCGCACCGATCCCCTCTTCCGCAGTGGATCGCGACACAAGCGACTAACATCAGTAAGTATGGAGTTACGGCACCGAGCACTTCAACCATAAAGCATTCTTACAGAGGCGGAAATCTGCCGTTTTTCAACAGCTAGTCTCTATTGTGCGCATGCGTCTGCAATTAGATCTTCCGTGAACATAGCCTCAGGACATTGTGTTCAAGTGCGTATGAACACACGAATTTGTGGCTTTGAAATTACCAATAATGGAAATACATTTATTGTATAAATTGATTCAAGCATAACAAAGTAAAAATCCAAGTAATGTCACTTTTTTGATAATATTCAGTTTCAAATTAATGTTTCGAATTAGAACATTGTACTTGTATACCGTCCGGTACATAAGAATACAATACACCGTACGCCGTACGCGAAGGAACAAAGTATTGAAAAGCGCGGGAATATTTAAAAAGTAGCCCTATGAGACACTGTGTTTTCTATCAAGTATATGTGATTGAATGTTTCTATTCAGTTTCCAACAATTTTTTTTATTTATATTCGTTTAGATATTAACGACTTTATCGTCTCTGTTATGTCATGTTTATGGAACAGAATTTATATACGCAAGCGTATTGGAGGTTTTAAAAGTCTGCAGCTATATTCGCGGAACAGTGTCCCGTCCGTATGCACCTGCGATATCGAGGAGGTGTCAGACCTTATTCATGAAGCACAACTTGTTCACGCATGTGTACAGAAAATTGTTTCTGAAAAATGCCGCAGTTTCGTCTCTGATGTAGTGCTTTGTGTTCTGCCAAGTATTCTGTGGTTATGGAGACCGCGGATCAAAATACCGATATGTCCTGTGTGTCCGTAATTTTATTATGCCTTGGTCTCGCTGTAGTGTACGTTGCAAGTCTCTATGTATGGAGAAACCCGTGCGATAGGTAAAAGAAAGCTGGCCGGCGATGAATGTCGATCTGCTTTTTTAAATAAGCATTTCTCCTGCGATCGTGTAACATGCTCTCTTGGTTCTGTTAACGGTGAACCACAGGGTACCATGAACAAAGTGTAACTGTATTCACGTCGTCCCGTGAACGCGAATGCCACTCTTTTTCAATTTCTCCCACTCGTACGATCATAAGGACCTCCACCCTTGAATTCTTTTTTATCCAGCGTCGCGTTTAAAACTTACAATACATTCTGTTTAAAAAACAAAATTCCTCAATTTAACCTATTATCCATCTGAATCATTTACCTCTATAAAATTTCATATATCAGGAAAGCTGTATTTAAAATTTATTTAAAATCACAGAAGATTTTTAAATGTAAAACGTTCTATATAAAAGTAACAAGATACTAATACAAATAAAAATGATGATCGGTTGAATAACAGGAAGATCAATTGATAAAGCTTTTAATCAAACATTCTTATCTCCCATATATATGTCTTTGAAATTTTTGTTTTTGTTTCATAATTACAGAGAACATCCTTCAACTATAAAAAGAAGATTTTTTAGTGTTTTCATAGTATGCCTTATATCTCCTACATCATTGTATTTTGGAATGAATGAAAAATACTTTGAACAGGTAATTACATGGTTACATTGTATTTTTTTTGTACATGGATATTTTCAAGTTGTTAATAAGTTATATTGTTTCAGGCAACATTTCTGGAGTTACTAGGTATAAGATGGGCAGGTTTAATTCAAGCAATTGTGATACCATTATTGTTAACAATGATACTATATTTAGGACCATTATGTGTACAAGGTTTTAGTGGTCTTAGAAGATTATGTACCCGTGAGTGCTTCACACATTTTTTTTCTCTAATGTATTAACTAATAAATTTACTTGTTTCAGAGTCTATGTATAGAATTGGAAATATAAGGACATTAACGTGGTGGAGAAGTCAAGTTGTTGCTCCTTTGACCGAAGAATGGACATTTAGAGCTTGTATGTTGCCATTACTTTTGCAATGCTTTGCGCCACTTACTGCAATATTTGTATGCTCATTGTTCTTCGGAGTAGCTCACTTCCATCATATAGTATATAGACTAAAAGAAGGCATGCCACTTAAACATGCTGTCTCTATGTCATGTAAGTACTATTTGCAATTTAGATGAAATTTAAGAGTGTCGACAGACTTGTAATTGTAATTTGTTAATCAGGTTTTCACGTTGGATACACAACGGTGTTCGGAGCATATGCAGCATTTCTATTTGTTAAGACAGGTATGTCAACCGTACTTACTTCTTTTATTGATTCGTTTAAATATATAATTATGCAATAATTCGTATTTCTTGTAAATAGGACATTTAGTAGCACCACTGACAGTACATTCTTTTTGTAATGGTGTGGAATTTCCTGATCTTTCTATGGCATTTAAGGACCCATTGAGAAAGTTTTCTCTATTTGTTCTTGGATTAGTTTCCTTTTGTTTTTTGTTAATGCCAATGACGGATCCCAAATTATTTCACAATGAATTATTTTGGAATAAAAATTTTGTATGAGAGAAATTTCATTTGCAACAATGTCACTAATGTTGTTCACAATTTTTATACTGAACTAGGATAATTCTAAACTATTAACATCGTTTTTATAATTCATATTGCA